TCCTCGCTGGCCGGCAAGGACGCCTCCTCCCACCGCCGCATCGCCATCGCCGTCGACCTCTCCGACGAGTCCGCCTTCGCCGTGCGGTGGGCCGTGCAGAACTACCTGCGCCCCGGCGACGCCGTCGTGCTCCTCCACGTCCGCCCCACCTCCGTCCTCTACGGCGCCGACTGGGGATCCATCCCCGTCTCCGTCTCCGACGACGACGCGGACGATGCCGCCGTCGCCGCCGCCGCCGAGGGCTCCGACCCCGCCGCCGCCTCCGCGGAGGAGCTGCAGAAGAAGCGGGAGGAGGACTTCGACGCCTTCACCTCCACCAAGTCGCAGGACCTGGCGCAGCCGCTCGTCGCCGCGCAGATCCCCTTTAAGATCCACGTCGTCAAGGACCACGACATGAAGGAGCGCCTCTGCCTCGAGGCCGAGCGCCTTGGCCTGTCCGCCATGATCATGGGGAGCCGCGGATTCGGGGCCTCGCGCAAGGGCGGCAAGGGGAGGCTCGGGAGTGTTAGTGATTACTGTGTGCATCACTGTGTCTGCCCGGTTGTGGTTGTGCGCTACCCAGATGATGCTGCAGGTGTCCCCGGGGAGGCAGCAGCGGCGACAGATGAGCTGCACACTGTGCCTGAGGATGAGCCCGTGTATCATGACGCGCCTGATGCACACAAAGGTTCGCCCTCCTGCTTTCCTGAACTCCATGATTTTTGATTGTTTGTGCTGATTGATTATTAATTCATGAGGTGCTGGATGAAGTGATTTACTACACTAGTGCATGGTATGGAACAAAACTAGTATCGACATTAGACATTCCTTGGTAACTAGTAGTTCAGTACTAAGTTATTTCAGTCACTCAGCAATTAAAACTGTTGATCTTTTGTTGGAAATTGTAATGGTTTCCCGCTGCTCTTAAAATTGTGGATGAAAAATAAACTATACTGCGATTTGAGAAAAGCACATTGGTATACGAAAATATTGAACTGTGAATCAAATTCTTGAGCTCTCGAAAGATAAATGAAATTCTCTGCTGCTACACACTGCATCCATTGTTGTTGATGCCATCTGTAGTTGTTTCTTTCTACCTCCTTGTCAAAATACATGTTAGTTAGGATCTGGGCTAGTAAAAAAAATAGGTTTAACGATCAATGTTGAAATAATTACTGAAATTGGCAACATCAAATTGATGGTACTACATCGAACTATCATTTAGAACAACATATTTTCAGAGAAATTGATGGTCAAAATGCCATCTTAGAGACCGTGACACCGTGCCAATGTCCAACACGACATGTGTTTTTGACAGAAGTAGTACATTTCAGTTCTTATGCTTGTGTAAGCAATTGTACAAGGACGGAATTTCTTGATGTTCTACTCGGTGAAGAACATTAGGGCAACAAAGTACTACTAGCTCAAAATTAGCATTTGTAGTTGTCTAGAGTTAGCACATGAGATAAATAGTGAATTCACAGCAATCTGCTGTCTATTAAGGAAAACAAAAATGCAAGGTAATGCTGATAATTATATTTTTACGACACTTCCTTTTATGGATCATCTTGTTCGCTGGTTATTTGTTTGTACCATGTGGCTGAATTGAAACACTTACGATGTATATGTAATCAAGCTTTAGTAGTATCTCTTATGCAACCGTTATAGTTTTACTACGTGATTAAAAAGATAGTTGCATATGGAATTAATTGCATTTTGTTTTTTTTCCTATTTAATACGGGAGTTTCTGTGGAAGCTGTTTTTTTAGTAATATCATGGTTATACAGCAAGCATGGTAACATTGTGTTCTATACTTTCTTATTTGTGCTAAATTCAAAAGATAGGCTTATTTACCTAAATTGATACTTAATATCAAGGAGAATCTCATCTTGGGTCATTTGTAGCTTCCTATACTGTTTATTATCCATGGTTAACACGAGGGTACTTTACAATTTGATTAAGCTATTGCAAAAATGTGTGTAACATTAGTATCTCTTTTGAGTGGTTTATTCTAAATTCAAAAGATAGGCTTATTTACCTAAATTGATACTTAATATCAAGGAGAATCTCATCTTGGGTCATTTGTAGCTTCCTATATTGTTTGTTCATGGTTAACACGAAGGTACTTTACAATTTAATTAAAGTAATGCAAAAATGTGTGTAACATTAATATCTCTTTTGAAAGGTTTAATCCGCCTCACATTAATTTTTTTGTCAGCTTATCAGCCCTGTGGAATGCGTTTTTCATATAAGATTTCTTGTAGGACCACGATAGTTAGAGTCAACTCGTGCTTTTGAAATTCTGAAGGGTATTTTTCCCATGTCAGTATCTCTAGAATTTCTCCCGCGCTAATTGTTTCCACTTCCTTTGCCATGTTTAGCTGAGTTATTTATTTCGTGGTACCTGACCCATTTCAAAGTATAATGCATAACTTTGAGTGGAATTAAGTAGTTCATACAGTCAAGAGAAGGACAAGAGAAAATGACCATGCTATATATATCCTTGCTTTGATACTTTGGACAAAGAGGGATGAATAGTTAGTGATTGTGTTACTTGTAAATGGAATATAAATGAAGGCAAACAAGGAAAATCACCAAGAAATTCACATGCATGACTTACATGTTGTAAAGCAATATTGATAAACTATACACCTTTATAAGATGCAATGATGGGAATGTGTGTGCAGTTTCCTCTCCTTTTCCCTTATGTCACAAATGGATAGGATCACCCTTTCTTTGATTGCCTTTAGGTCATCTGTTACTTTTACCCATGCATATCTCATTTCACTTTCCCCTTGCTGCATTGCATATCACTTTTCTCTAATTACTGTTCTCTCTCTTTTTTTGCTTCACACTACACTTCATCGTCTGCAGATTTTTTATTGGGTCATTGTAGTTGAATACCGTCATACCTCATGTCTTGGGAACCCTTATAGTTAGCCATGTATCCAGTTCATAGCCTTACACCTGTCAGTTTTCTATGTACGCTGGAACAAATGACATGGTACCAGGGGGTCTCATTAGCTCAGGACCACACTTTTTTGGTAATTACAGTTTGCAGCAGTTGCCACAATTTTCCACTTATCGTCGTGGGCTGGCAAGTGGGACAAGCTGTGACATCAGCTATGGGTGTGTAGCATCTAGCATGCTATACTTGGTTGCAGCAAAAAAGATCTAGTATAGTAAACCAGTAAGGCCCTATATCAGAATTCTCCCTACAATCAGCAAAATTTGTAGGATGTGCTAAGGTATTCAGAAGATCAGAGTGTTTCCAGTGGGGGGGTAAAGGTTTCACATTCTGAAGATGACTGGTCTTTGTGAATATTGGTCTGTTATTTGTATGTTATATGCTAGTTTAGTAAACCAAAAGATAACGTGCGATTAGCGCTGCAGTGAGACCTCCAGAGAAGTGGGGCTACTGACAAGGGCTTGAACCCAGTTTCTTCCAAAAAAAAAGACCCCTTGCTGTGTATTGTTCCCCATGCCTGTCAGGGTCGCCAATGGGCGCTGAGCTGGCCCACATGTCAACCACGCAAAGTTAGGTCACGTAAGTTAGAGGATTTGCGTCCCTGCTGTAGTGGGTGGGCCGTGTTTGGGGCCTTTTCTCAACCTAAAAGAATGCCTTCGGGTTTCTTCCCCCAAGGGCCAAGTTTAGTAAACCAATTAGGCCCTATATAAGTAAATTCTCCCTATATAAACAGCAAGAGTTGTAGGATGTGCTAAGTAGTAAATTTGAACTAGAATTTGCCTATAAGGTCTTCACAAGTTCAGAGTGTTGGCAACATACTTGGGAGGGTAATGGTTTCAGTTGATCTGGTCCTTGTGAACATTAGCCTGTTATTCATATGTTATGTACAATCATCTACTGGAACAAACCAAGCTTACTCGTTTTCCTTGTAGCAGTAGTTTACAATGGTGCCTTTGAATATGTTCTCATATTCAAGAGCTCTGAACTCCCTTTTATGCCAAGCGCACCTATTTTGCGCACAAATTTATTTCAGTTGCTGCCTGATATGTGAGATGCTGTTTCATTTGAAATTCATACTTTGACTGAATCGCTAAGTTGGCTTGCGACTTGCTGTTACTTCACTGCAGAGAACTGAGGCAATGGCATCCAACCGGAGCGCAAGGAAACCATGAATGAGGCTTGTGTACCTAGGCGATCCCTGTGTACCTGAGCAAAGCAACTCTGTATCCAGCATCCGCTTCACGAGCATGCGCATACCGTAATCTGGCTTTGCCGGCAGGCTTTAGCGCCGTGCTCTCAGGTGGCGGGGGTCTCTGTTGGTTTGCGTCGTGTGATGTTTTATGTTGTCGACTGCAAGTAGACTGAACTGTTGGTGTGTGCATGTGCTGTATTTTTATGAACCTCTCTTGTTTTGCAAGTCCAGGCTTACCGGTGTAATATGTGTACCTGTTGTATTCTTCCCTAGTTTTCAGCATTGGATACTTGGGTAATGGACGCTGTCTAGTTTTCTGCATGTACATGTCTGTGTTCAAATAAATGCAAGGTTGGCATGCTTCTTTGTGACAATTACCGCATGGTACATGCTGTTAGTGTTTTCGTTTTGACATGCTACAGCAAAAAGGAGAAGTAGGTACATAGGACAAAAGGAAGAGAGAAAATGAAAAAGATTAATCTAATATCCAGTCTCGTGAATATTAACGTTGATTCTTGATGACATAAACGCTTCATATATATCTGCCGGCTATATTTCAGAGCATCTCCAGCCCTTTCGCGTAAGAATCAATCTTTTTTAGGGTTATTTTTCGCGTAAGAATCTGAGACCTGCCCGGTGGCTGTTTCGAAAATGTTGACGTGCCTCTCAAAAAAAGAAAAAAAAAAGAAAAAATGTTGACATGCTTCTCTGTGACAATTATGCGGTTAGCGTTTTCATTTTGGCGCGCGTCTCGTCTCTCCCCGCCCCTTCCCTCTTCCTCAGAAAGGCAAAAACACCCCCCAAAATCAAATCCGCGGAGGGGGAGGCGGCGGCGCACTGGCGGCAAGTTCAGCGGCGGGCATGGACGAGGGGCTGGTGTCAGTGGACACGTTCAGCGGCGGCAGCCAGGCCTACTTCCTCACGCACCTCCACCAGGACCACACCCGGGGCCTCGGCGCGGCGGCCGGCTGGCGCCACGGCCCGCTCTACTGCTCCCCCGTCACGGCGCGCCTCCTCCCCACCCGCTTCCCGGGGGTCGACGCCTCCCTCATCCGCCCCATCGCCGCCGGCGCCTCCGCCTCGCTCTCCCTCACCTCCCCCATCTCCGGGCGCACCGTCTCCCTCCACGTCACCGCCCTCCCCGCCATTCACTGCCCCGGTACACCTCCCGCCCCAAACCCTCCTCTCCTGATGCGCTCGCGCGCCGCCGCTCGGTAAACCCGCTGACCAATCCGTGGCCGCGTGCCGTGCGTGCAGGCTCGCTCATGTTCCTCTTCCGCGGCGACCTCGGGTGCAGGCTCTACACCGGGGATTTCCGGTGGGAGTTGGGGTGCGACAAGGCGCGGGCCGCGAAGAAGGCGCTCCTCGACGCGCTCGCCGGGGACACCGTCGACGTGCTCTACTTGGACAACTCCTACTGCCACCCGTCGCTCAACTTCCCCCCGCGCCGCGTCGTCGCTCAGCAGGTCAGATTTGCTTCCGTCCATTGTGCCAATTTCCGCCCCGTGTACGCAACGTTGTCACTTCAGCCAACCGTAGAACATACTAGTCTGAAATTTTCTTCAGAGAAGTGCACTCTCACCTTCTGTGGCGATTTAAATTACTAGGAAGATTATACGCTGTGGATCCCTAAGGAAAACAATTCTTAGAATGCCATGGAGGCCTGACCCCATTCTGGCAGTGAAGTCTCCAGAATGAGCAGATGCACTTTGATATGCAATTTTCGGTGTCCATCCTTTGGTGTCAGTTGCGACTGTCAGTTACAACCTAGTTCATATACACAGTATGCTGCTTATACATCAATACTTTCGGCATTTCACATGGAGCTCATAGAATTTGAGTAAGAAATTTGGTATAGCCTGTTGATGCCACTCAAGCCAAATGTCTGTCAAAGGTGAAAACCAGTGGCATATTGTTTTCTATAGCTGCATCTTGAAGGGGCCAGAGACTAACTGGGCATGGATTTGGTTGGACAGCTGTTGTACTTCCTCATGTTCAGCATTAGCTGCCCCACATCCTATTTTACTAATGGGGTGGGTGCTCTGATATAGTCTAGAGTTCTAGTGCTAATTGATTTACCTGCAATAAGATGTCATTCCCAACTTGTAAGCAAGTCGCCTACACATAAAGTTTCTGCGTATGTGACCTTTAAGTTGTCCATCATGCTATGTTGGATGTTCTATACTAATATTTTCTTAGTGTTGGGTGCAGATAGTTGACCTTATTCGTGCTCATCCTGATCATGAAGTTATTCTTGGCATTGACACTCTTGGCAAAGAAGACCTCTTGCTTTATATAGCCAGAGCACTACAAACGAAGGTGCTAAGCCTCCTCTCCTTGACATGCTCAATGTTCTACTCCTGATATGTTTCTTAATTTCCTATTTCCATTCTTTTATTCAACATAAACATGCTTCAGTATTGGTGTTAAGTTCTCACCCCTGCTCAGTCATCTAGTCTAAAATTCTGCGTAGCCGTCAGAACTTTGATACACACGCTGCTATTGTATTTGCTTTATAAACACTAGACATTGATCTTCTTCTTCTGAAGGCTAAAATATTATTTTCTCACTTTCCTGGTCAGATTTGGGTCTGGCCCCAGCGCCTACTGACAATGCACCTTCTAGGCATTGATGACAATCGAGAGATCTTCACCACCCAGACCAGCTTGACGAGGGTCCGGGCTGTTCCAAGATACGGCCTGAGCATCGAGAGTCTTGAAGCTTTGAACACAGTATGCCCAACTATAGGAATCATGCCTTCAGGCAACACTTGGCTATGGAGAAACAGCGAGGGAAAGAGCAAGTTCAGTGGCAAAGGACCAGCAAAGTCTACCAAATGCAAAGGGCGAGGACGGGGCGCAGTGGGCACAATAGAGATGAACTATGATCCCTCGTCACCACCAAAGCTATTTGAGAAGGATTCCTACACTCTGCCATACACCGACCATGCTTGTTTCGCAGAGTTAGAGGATTTTATGCAGACAGTGCGCCCGTCAACGGTCGTAGGGATCGTCAGCTCATCGTACTGTTACGTGAATCCTCGTGGTCACTTTGGCCATCTCTGCGGAGACGAAGCGTGCTCTGACAAGACGCCCGTGAAGAACGGCGGGCATGCTGGAAACTCGACGCCCGTAAAGAACGGCAGGCATGCTGGAAACTCGACGCCTAAGAGAAGACCGGGTGCTTCGAAAGCCCCGAGGAGAAGGATGGTCAAGATCTCCAGTCCAACACTGTACAGAAGCAGAGCTATAATGATGAAAAGGAGGTATTCCTGTGGTGCAAAGATTGTAGAACCCGAAGAACCCATCCCTGTCTCTTGAGAGTTAGCTCCCCTCCCCAAGTAAATTTTATCTTGCTCCTGTGAAGATCAACAGCAGCTGGATGAAGAACCTATCATCGTCCCTTGAGTTATCTCCCTTCCTCAAGTAAATTTTATCTTGGTCCTGCAAAGATCAACAGCAGCTGGATGAAGAACATGTCGTCGTCCCTTGAGTTATCTCCCCAAGTAAATTTTATCTTGGTCCTGCAAAGATCGGCAGCAGCTGGATGAAGAATCTGCCATCGTCCCTTTAGTTATTTGTCCAAGTAAATTTTATTCTGCTGCTGTAAAGTTTAACAACTGGATAGGAAGAGGCTGTGAGCGACCTAGCTCCCTTGAGTTATTCTCACAAGTAAAATTTATTTAGCTCGTGTAACTAACAGATGAGATGGATGGTTGAAAGCAGTGGGCTGGGAACTCTTGTGGTACAATTAACCAGCTTGCTGGTCTGGGTGCTACCGGCGCCATCTTTTTCTTGCAACCTTGTTCTGTCAGCAAGAAGATGCATTTCAGCTACTGTCTTCCTGATGCAGTTTATTAATACTAGTAGTACTTTGCAACATAGAAAGCCCTGCGCTTTCTTGAGCACTTGTTGGATGCAACAAAAGTTTCTAGGCAGTAAAGCAACTTTCAGGCAGCACAGTAGCATCCGAGGAGAAAACTCAGGCGGACACCTCCAAAAAATCGGGGCAGATGGAGCAAGTTCGTTGGGCTCGGGTCGCATCCGTGCCGTGCGCAGGAGAAAATCTCCCCTGCTTTGAACGCCAACCGCCGCACGGACGTGGCTGCTGTTGGGGCAGACGCACCGGAAGGCGATACGGCGATGGGCGATGGCGCCACCACTGTCGGCACGGCGTGAGCTTTCGGCACCGACTTGCCGCTAACATGGCGGATGCTTTGGACATTCCGAAAGATATAAAGCCTCATGCGCCCAGGTCAGCAGGGGGGCACCCAAAGCGCCCAAAGCTTGCACCCGGGATTGGACTTCGGTCGGTCGCTCGTCGGCGCTCGTGTCCTTTTCTGGACGGAAGCGTCGTCACGTCGTCGTTGCATGTCCCCTGAGGCTTCTTTTCCAAGCCGATGCGCTGCTCATTTCTCACAATAAGATCGACGGGACAGTTTCCTGACGCCCACCTTACAAGTTTGTTGCTCGTCATTTCGTCCTAGCAGCAGCAGGACACGGACGGAAGCTTTCTCGAATCTCGACCGCGTTTTCAGCGTGCAGGTTTGGTACGGTACACAACTAACTGGCTTTGTCGAGGGAAACCGAGAGCGCACACTTGGAATGTTGGGACGTCGAGGAATACCTACCATACATCCCCATGGGCAAGAATGTTGAACGTTTGACCACACACACACGCACGCAGCAGCCAGGGCTGAATATAGGGGTCACGTGGTGCGACGTATGAGGAGAGAATATAGATAGGATCCCGCGGACATTTCTAACCGACCCCCTAAAATCAGCGAAATAAAACTAAATTTGCATAACCCGCAAAAATAACCCTAAATTTGCACAAGTTCAATCAAATTTTAACCAAAAGTTGATGCATTTAAACATAAAGTTCAATATAAAAAGTCCTCGCAACCGAACATTAAACATAAATTTAAACTAAATTCGGCCGTAGTGGAGGTCGAGCCGGTCCTTCCGGGTGAGGCCACCCTCGGTGTTAGCTGGGTCCGGGCCGGTGCTGTCATCGTTGGCGAAAACGCTCTGCCACTCCTCAACGTCGATATCCTCCTTGCCGCCCTTGTTGACGCCCTCGTCGTTGGAGATGACAACAACTTCACCGTCATTGACGGCAAATATCGCCCGCTCCGCCTCCACGAGCTCCGGGTACTGTCGGCGGAGCTTATCCATGTAGGCCTCGGCCTTGAGGCGCTTCCTCGCCTCTCCGTCCTCCTGCTCCATCCGAGTGCTCACCATCCCCGCTCTGGCGGGACAAGGTAGATCAGAGTGTGCCGAAGGGGAAGTTGAGCCTCACCTCATGGGCGTGGAACCGTACGTGCCACGAGCGAAAGTGTACCTGCCATGTGGAACGAGCCGCCCCACTTCCGCTCGTGGGTCTCGCGGTGAAGGAAATATGCCCTAGAGGCAATAATAAAGTTGTTATTTATATTTCTTTATATCATGATAAATTTTTATTATTCATGCTAGAATTGTATTAACCAGAAACTTAGTACATGTATGAATACATAGACAAACAGAGTGTCACTAGTATGCCTCTACTTGACTAGCTCGTTAATCAAAGATGGTTAAGTTTCCTAACCATAGACATGAGTTGTCATTTGATGAATAGGATCACATCATTAGAGAATGATGTGATTGACTTGACCCATCCGTTAGCTTAGCACTATAATCGTTTAGTTTATTGCTATTGCTTTCTTCATGACTTCTGCATGTTCCTATGACGATGAGATTATGCAACTCCAGAATACCGGAGGAACACTTAGTGTGCTATCAAACGCCACAACGTAACGGGGTGACTATAAAGATGCTCTACAGGTGTCTCCAATGGCGTTTGTTGAGTTGGCATAGATCGAGATTAGGATTTGTCACTCCGTGTATCGGAGAGGTATCTCTGGGCCCTCTCGGTAATGCACATCACTATAAGCCTTGCAAGCAATGTGACTAATGAGTTAGTTGCGGTATGTTGCATTACGGAACGAGTAAAGAGACTTGCCGGTAACGAGATTGAACTAGGTATTGAGATACCGATGATCAAATCTCGGGCAAGTAACATACCGATGACAAAGGGAACAACGTATGTTATTATGTGGTTTGACCGATAAAGATCTTTGTAGAATATGTAGGAACCAATATAAGCATCCAGGTTCCGCTATTGTTTATTAACCGGAGATGAGTCTCGGTCATGTCTACATAGTTCTCGAACCCGTAGGGTCCGCACGCTTAACGTTCGATGACGATCGGTATTATGAGTTTGTGTGTTTTGATGTACTGAAGGTAGTTCAGAGTCCTGGATGTGATCACAGACATGACGAGGAGTCTCAAAATGGTCGAGACATAAAGATTGATATATTGGAAGGCTATGTTTGGACACCGGAATGGTTTTAGATAAGTTCGGGCAATTACCGGAGTACCAGGGGGTTACCGGAACCCCCTGGGGAGTTAATGGGCCTTAATGGGCCATAGTGAGATAGAGGAGGAGGCGGCCAAGTGGGGCGCCCCCAGGGAAGAGTGGGCCGGCCCCCCTTTCCTCTCTCCTTCTCCCTCTTCCTGTTGGGGAGCGCAGTAATTTCAAAATTTGCCTACGCACACGCAAGATCTATCATGGTGATGCATAGCAACGAGAAGGGAAGAGTGTTGTCCACGTACCCTCGTAGACCATAAGCAGAAGCGTTATGACAACTCGGTTGATGTAGTCGAATGTCTTCACGATCCGACCGATCCTAGCACTAAAGGTACGGCACCTCCGCGATCTGCACACGTTTAGCTCGGTGACGTCCCGTGAACTCTAGATCCAGCTGAGTGTCAAGGGAGAGTTTCGTCTGCACGACGGTGTGATGACGGTGATGATGAAGCTACCGGAACAGGGCTTCGCCTAAGCACTGCAACGATATGACCGAGGTGGACTATGGTGGAGGGGGGCACCGCACACAGCTAAACAATGTCAACTTGTGTGTTCTAGGGTGCCCCCTGCCCCCGTATATAAAGGAGCAAGGGGGGAGGCCGGTCGGCCCTAGGGCGCGCCAAGGAAGGGAGGAATCCTCCTCCTAGTAGGAGTAGGATTCCTCCTTTCCTAGTCCTACTAGGAGGGGGAATGAAGGAGTGGGAGAGAGGAAGGAAAGGGGAGGTGCCACGCCCTCCTAGTCCAATTTGAACCCGAGGAGGAGGGGGCGCGCGGCCTGCCTTGGCAGCCCCCCTCTCTCCACT